TATTTATTTATGTACTTCGTGCAATATGTTTATTATAAAAGTCTAATTAATATATTTCTTGTTAAGACTTAATTGACGCATTAAACATCTAACGAAAGTTTAATAATGTTGACATTATTGTTACAACGGTCTGTAAGACCGTCATTATGAAACAAAAGTAGTTTTTATTATACGGATCATGCCGAAATTACAACTTAATCGAACCGGCTGAAAAACCATTCGGCCAACTTTTATCAGGTGTTCTAGGAATTATGAAAATAGCTATAAAATTTATATATGAAAATTTAAAAAAAAGACCGGCCGGCCTAAAAGTTTCATGTTATGAAAACAATTAAATTTGTATGGCCTTACAAAGTTTTTAAAATACTTATTTTGCAACATGAATACATTACTCTAGAAAGTAATTACAAATATATTTTTTTTGAAATTTGGAATAATAATTATTGAGAGACATATTGGAAAACTTTTCTGCTAATAACAAAATAAATCGAATAATGGATAATGCTGATTAAAAATCAAATTATTAAGCGTGATTACTGAGTGTCGAGCTTTAATACAATTCAGAAAAATCCGATCCAGAATAACCGATTGATGTTCTTTTTAATAACACGTTTTTTATTGATAAGATACTCTTACTGTTTTCTATTGTGTATAAGCGGTCTAAATGTAGATGTACTGGTTATTTTATAAAATTATAGATATGAAATTTATATGATCAAATTATGCATTACTCCAACTTTAGTGTTGAACAAGCTATGTTGACATAAGATAAGGTTAATACTTTGTATTTTGTGTCTCATACGTACATCGAATTTTAACGTTAGCAGCCGAAAAAATATCCACTTAAGGCATTTCAGATTTACATAGCCCTATAAAACTAACTACGTATAAAATCGACAATCAAAAAATTGTTCTTTCAAAAATGTCAAAACATATCCCATCAGAATTACTTAATTTAGTATTTTTAGAAATCTACAATGATCGTTTCTTACTTTACAATCGAAAATTTCATTATTTATACAATTGTCTATTAGTAAATCGTTTTTGGTGTAAAAATGTGGTTTCTCTACTTTGGTCTCTTGTCTTCGCTTTCAGTTTGAAAAAAAAAATCGTCGAAAACCCGCGCAGAGATTATTAATACTTGTCTTAAATTTATTAATAAAGAGCAACAAACAGATTTATTAAAGTCTGGAATTCATGTTGATGTGACTCCTTCATTATTTAAATATCCATCATTCATTAAAGAAATTAAATTTGAGGCCTTATTGTTAAATATAAGAGACTGGATTTTTCTTAGGCATCCTTCTGAAGTTGATCGTAATTTGATTTTAAGAACTTTGCTGGAAGTGTTGGCTGAATATGGTTCTAACTAGCTCTTAGGACCCGGTCATTGCCCGGGTTCGAGTTTCTAATTTTTTGCTAATTCTTAAGCTTTTATGTTTTTAATTATTAAAACCCAGGCATTGTCTCGGGTTCGAGTTTCTAATTTTTTGCTAATTTTTAGGCCTAGCTTTTAGAACTTAGCATTGCCTAAGTTTGA